CAGAATAGACCATACTCCAATACAGAATAGGCGATACAGAATAGGCGATGCCCAATACAGAATAGACCATACAGAATAGACCATACTCCAATACAGAATAGGCGATACAGATTAGGCGATGCCCAATACAGAATAGACGATACAGTATAGACGATATCCAATACAGAATAGGCGATACCCAATACAGAATAGACGATACCCAATACAGAATAGACGATACCCAATACAGAATAGACGATACCCAATACAGAATAGACNATACAGAATAGACGATACCCAATACAGAATAGACGATACCCAATACAGAATAGACGTTTTTATGATGACAGTTGATCATAAAATAAAAATAAACAAGTTGATGAAAAGTAAAAATAAAAATAAAAATTGTTCTATACAATAAAATAAAAACAATCGGGGAAAAACAGCAGAACTACTAGTTTTTAAATGGTTGACTGAGATTAAAGAAAAAGATTTAAGACTTATTTATAAGCTCTTTATGCTAATCTTTAAACTAATTATACAGTTTGATAGGGTAACTAGATTTGCACAGGGTGACTTTCTTCCAGGCCCTTCTATATCGAATTTAGAAGTTAGAATTTAGCGCTCGCCTCTCACTAATACGACCCTGGTTCGAGTCCCGCTGAGCTCGGTGTCGTATGTGAGTAGAGTTGTTTGTTGGTTCTCTCCTGTGCTTCGAGGGTTTTCTGGGTTCCCCGGCTTTCCTCCCTCCGCAAAAATCAACTCCTAAATTCCATTTGGAATGACAGTGGATGAATAGCTACTCTGTAGAAATGCCACTGCTAAATCCCATTTATTTATTTATTTATATTAAGTTGGGAAGAAAGGAAAACAGGAACACCTCTGTCTGTCTGTCTGTCTGTCTGTCTATCTTGTCTGTCTGTCTCTGTCTGTCTGTCTTTTGAATGATATTTACATTTTATATTATTTGTTCCCCTAACGATCTGACAGGTGAGGTCAAATACGATAAAAGCTCTTTCCATTTTACGCTAGTCTGCTATATTCATGCTGTACCCCTAAATTCTTGGATTGCAACTACATGTCTCAAAATCAATTGAGATATAAATAAATGACAATGAAACAGCCACCATATTGGTTGATCTAGCAAGAGAAGCTAATGAGGAATGCTTTGTTATCGTTAACTAACATGATGGCTATGACGTAACATGCACCCCAAGAATAGGAGGATAACATTGAAACTGCCCCCATGTTGGTGGATCTAGCAAGAAAGCTAATGAGGAATGCTTTGTTATCGTTAATTAACATGATGGCTATGACGTAACATGCACCCCAAGAATAGGAGGATAACATTGAAACTGCCCCCATGTTGGTTGATCTAGCAAGAAAGCTAATGAGGAATGCTTTGTTATCGTTAACTAACATGATGGCTATGACGTAACATGCACCCCAAGAATAGGAGGATAACATTAAAACTGCCCCCATGTTGGTTGATCTAGCAAGAGAAGCTAATGAGGAATACTTTGTTATCGTTACATACACCCCAAGAATAAATCCTTCGTCATCCAAACTAAAATTCTATTAGATTTATCAAAGTTTTACTTGTATTCGATCTAGCTTGTTGCTTTTTTTTAAAGTAAAATTAATACATAGATTTACGTTAACAAAAGGTTTTTAAAAATTCAACAAAATCGCTTTTTGCAATTTTTTGTGGTTTCGAAAAAATCAAGAAATTCATTACGTATACTTGCTAAGAAACACCTTGTACGAATAATAGCGAGATTCAATGATTCAAAGATTCAACTAAGTCAAATAAGTAACGGAAAACTGAAATTTTGAGTTGCGAAGCGATGAACGTGCTAGATATACTATTTGTTATAAGGAATGTTAGTTTTTTTAGGTATTTTTCTGGTTCTAGTAGTTAGTAATCTTTTCTTAATGTGTCCGGCAATCTTAGTTTCGGGTCTTGCACCACACATCTTAAAATATTTTCTTTAGTAATACTTACGGGATTTTTTCTTCGAATAGCATGTGTATGTTTCCGTATTACAAAAAAGGGGGAAAGAAATATAAAGGCTAGGAAGGAAGGAAGGAAGGGCGGAAGGAAGGGTGGAAGGAAGGGCGGAAGCAAGGAAGCAAGGAAGGATGCAAGGAAGGAAGCAAGGAAGCAAGCAAGCAAGCAAGGAAGAAAGGAAGAAAGGAAGGAAGGAAGGAAGGAAGCAAGCAAGCAAGGAAGAAAGAAAGAGAAAGAAAGAAAGATAAGGAAAGAAAGAAAGATAGGGAAAAAGCAAATTTCCATTATTTTCTTTCCTTTTGAAAACGTGTGTGCAGTTCGTCTCCTCATAAAACAATATTTGCCTCTCTTATCACCCAGTCTTTCTTTTTTATACTATGGTCTATTAAAGTACACGTCTATCAATCGTCCCTCTTTATATTTTCTGTGTCTTTTGTCATTTAGTTTCTGACCATGTATGAAACTCAAAAAACAAGATTTCTACTGATGGTCATCACTAGCTATCCTCTCATAGCCCACGCATTTGGTATCATTCTCCACAGGCTCTTTCTATACGTCGTTCACTGAAACCCCATGCTACAGGATAAAGGGCAAAACGGCAAAGCTTTCTCAGCACTTTTTCTCGTATTAAGCTCTACAGATCGCGTGTGAGAGGTGAAATTTTTGTGTCTCTGTAATCATAACTTTTCTGCTTTATATAAGTAACTATGTATCAGTATTCTTCGATGACAACTTACTAAAATTCTTTCTTTTTAATTTGTAATGACACTAGAAATATAAGCGCTTTTTTAAATAGAAGTGCGTTTTGATTAAGTCTTGGCTAAGCTTGGGTAAAAGAGCTCAAAAGAAACAAATCAATAGAGTGATAATCAAAAAATAAATCAGTAAAAACATTAATAAACTTTTTAGAAATTTACCTTTCTAGGTCTCTGTGGATGTCACCCCTTTAGAGTTCGTCTTGTGTAAATTTGACAAAACTGTTTGTTCGACCTGAAAACGTTATGACGTTAAATAATAAGCGAACGTGTGTGTCAAGTAAGATAGGGGAGTGTCTAAGGTATACTATGAGGTGGGTTGCTGGCAATACCATTATTAAGAACTATTGTCCTAAAATATTTTGAACGTAATCCCTAAAAAAATACAACTTAAATCATCCCCCTCATTTTGAAGAATGTGAAGTAATCCTGTATATTTTCGAGGTAGGAATATCCTTCTAATATCTGATTGAAAAGATAGTCTAGCTTGATCAAAACTTTAGTACTAAGGGCGACAGAGAGAAATTCGTACCGTTACTTACAGACACGCGCATTAACCTAATGCCCAGTGCTAACTTTAATGTTACGTTTAGTTGGGGAAATTCAGCCGGGAGTGAAGATGATGATTTCAGAGGCTTATATTGACAATGCCCGTCCCAGCACAATAACAGCAGTATTTACTTCTGAAGTGCTTTATTGTGGGATCCTTTGACAGCCATCGAAACACTAGATGACTAAGTGAAATTTTACAAAGCAATAGGCAGAGCTTTAAACTGGATTTCAAATACACTGACTAGTACAGAATTCCGACAAAAGTATATGTATATGCTTTTCGAGTTCTTGTGAGTTGAGTTCTTAACGTTGATGAGTCAACTGGGATTTTTGAGTCAACAAGACGAATGCCAAATTCCGATACTCTTTGAAATATTCAGAGGTATAATAAGGATAATTCTTCGAGACGATATAAAATAATTACCTTTAGTTGGTAATGAGCCAATGTTCTTGTAAGATGAAGGGGGAAATCAAGTTATAGTTGAGCGTAACGTTTTTAAAGTATCCAATACTATCACAAAGAAAATACATATCTTTCGCTTTCCTTAACGAACTCTTTATTAAATCAAGAAAAAATGTTGAGAGTATCGAGTATAAACAATTCAAAGGTGGTCTTAACTTACGTAGCGCCTCTCAAGGGGGAGTCTGATATGCTTTAGTGAGAGCATAAAAGACATGCTTGATCCTGTTTCATTCTGATCCAAAACAATCATCCACCAATCAAATTGCCGTTTTCCGACCACGTGGGGTTTCAACAATCAACCGCTGGACAGCTGTGTCTAAGTTAGCAACCCACGTGTTCGGCAAATGAATATATGCACTGATTTTTCATAAGTTTAATAAAAGTATGATCCAGCTTCACCAGTTTTTGGGTTTGGAGGGGATTCACCCAACCAAAAATTCAAATTTGCTCAAGCAAAGTCATTTGATCATGTTTTCGTGAGAGGACGACCCCAATAATTTGTATGGATAACTAATTAATTGGTTGTGTCTGTCGTACTGTTAAACACTCAGAACATTCAAATGTTAAAATATTTAGTCTATGAAATCATATCATTAGTGTTGGTTGCTTTATGCAACACATTATGCACTCGGGCCTCAAATGATAGCTCGTTCGCGACGCTATTAGAATCACGAATAATTGCAAGACTCCGGGATTTTCCCTATGACTTTCCCTCCCCTTTACCCCATAGGGTCTATTCACAGTAGCCAGGTGACTCATGCTATCCCTTTTATGACAACATTGATACTCTATTATTTGTTTTACGTTGAGTGAAAGTCTCTACTTATCTCAGCTCTGCATGGGGTTGAGATCTCTCCCTCCCATGAAGCTCTCTCTTAAGACAACCACGGGGCTTGGCCAATCAATAATTGGCCAGTCACTTAAAAACATTGATTTAATTGTACTTGCGAACAACTCTCTCATAGAATCAAAACCTTTGGCATATTTTTTTCCTTTTTAAAAAAAAATTTTGGGGTTGCAATTTTCAAAAAGTCATTGCTTTTTTAAATCTTAGAGTAACCTTGAGTAGCCTTTCCCTCTTAGCGAGTTCCTGTATTTCGTGTCAAATTTTTTATTATCAGTGTTCAGTATTGAGATGCATTAATCATTAATAAGTTAGTAGCCTAAAATATAGAATAGGAAGAATACTTGTTTACTAGCTTGGAAAAATACCACTGAACTGATTTCTGCTGAACTATGCATGTTATTCCACCTGACTATCTCTCCCACTTCAAACTATCTGAACTAAGAACTATTGCGCTTAACAAGCCGTATCTAACTCCCACACTCAATAAAAGAAATGATTTTTTTAAAGGAATTATCAAGCTCGAAAAATGTAATAGTTTGAACCGGATAGATTAATGTTTTTGAGAGCTGTTCTGAAGATAGCGCTGTTTAGTATCATGTTTCCTTGATTCTATATCTTAGCATTACAAAAGACATAGAGTATAGTTTGAAAAAAGCCGTCGTTGAAAATCTTCAAAGTTAAAAACTTTCTGTGATTCAAGGAAATGGAATTTCTATTCTCGACATGTGGTCTTACGCCTACGGTTGTAGAACTTCGAAAAAAACAGTAAAATTCTATAGGAATTTTTTCAAATTCCATCGCATTTTGAGCAAAAAATTTTTGTATCATTTGAGCAACGATTTCGGTGTTTTTAAACATGGTGCTTGTTTTGGACACATGAAAAAAGGATTCTTCAGTATTTTGTTTACCTTGCACTGAAAAGAAGTTAAAATTCGCACTAGAAATTTCTATTTTCAGTTACAGACTACTACAGTAAGCTAAATGGACAGAGAAAAAGAAAAGCGAACCGTTATTCATTAGGTTTTGCTGAACTTTCTATTTGTACTTGACATTTTCAACCGCGTGTATCTTTTGAGCTTTATTAACTATTTAACTATTAATGAAGAACGATGACAAATAGATTTTTTTAGCGATTAAACTCTTTGTGTGTGTACCTTAACTTTAGAAAACCCTTTGATTTGAAGTTCGATAAACAATATTCTTAGTTATTGTCTGTTGAAAGGTATATCAGTTGGCTTAGTTAAGTCGTTCGATAAGTTACAGAAACCACTGACATTTCTTTAGCATTCTTTAGGTGGCTTTAAAGACTAACATACTTTAGAGTAAAACAAGCTGTATTTTAGAAAAAAAGACTCGAAATAAGGGCATAGTTTGCCGTTCATAGGCTTAGAGTGTTTAGAATAGCGGCATTATTAGCATCTGGAAATTCACCTTCAGTTCCGCGTTTTAGGTATAAATCCTTTAATATCACTACAAGATAGAGTATAGATTAGATTTATTAGATTTCTTACAACAATTCTTGAGATGCTGCATTATCACGGCACAGAACAGAACAAACAACATCCGCTGAAAAAGACCACAGGCACAAGGCCAAGGCGACTATCATCCAATTACAATGCTCGAACTCGTCACTTCACGGTAACGCGCATTCGTCCCATGAATTGTTTTTACAATCAATTGCTATATGTTGTGTTCTATGTTTTTGCGTATGCGTGTGTTGTGTAGGTAGTATGGCAAGGGGGGAGAGAGAAAGAGGGTAGGAGGGAGGGGGAGGGGGGGGGGTAAAGACCCTGGGCAATCAGAATGACACGCAGTCCAACGCAGTCTTAGTCACGTTTGATTTTAATCATAGTATTTCTAATGCGAAATAACTTATGTAGACCCGTGCGGCTGCCAGTCAACGTTCCGTGGGCGAATGTCTAATCTCTCATTACCTGCAGCCCCTAAAGACCTCCTCTGGTCATAATAGCGCAGCGCAACCGTGACGTCATAAAAACGAAGACAAAGGCGAAATTCGGACAAACAAACTTACAATTAAGTTTACTTTCAGCAGATAATTTTCACAGCCGATCGCAGTTGATCTTAGTTTACATGGGTTATTATTGTAACTTTAAGTAAAAATAATAAAATCGGTTCGTATAATCCTCGTAGCGGTTAAACAGAATGCAATGTTTGTCCGAATCTTTAAGCTATTTTTAGAATCAGTGCGCTGCGCTATTGTAAAGAGCATTGAGCCCATGTGAAATACGCTATATAAGAACCCCATTATTATTATTATTATTATTATTATTATTATTATTATTATTACGTGTTTGCCCGATGGCTGCTTCATGTTATTATCAAGACCTGTTTATGATCCGTACTGTCAGTGTAAATCAACAACAGAAAACCTTCATATTTTTATATCTCTGGGTGTTCAATTCTATATTATTAATCTTGATCTATTTTTCTCTTGTTTTCCGTAAAGTTTCAACGAGTTTGTTCTATTTGTTTATAGCGAGCAGAATGAATTAATACGTTAATTAACTAGATTATAAGAAAGAAGAAAAATAGACTAGGTTAAAGATAAAACGGAAAACGGAAAAAAAAAAAATTAAACTTGAAAATCTAGGAAAGAACACTAGCGATTTTACTTTTACCGCGCGCCAAGTGCTGGCGTTTTAGTTTGTTAACTCCCACACAGGCTACGTCCCTCATGATCCAAAAGAGAAAAGAAGGTAACTGTGAAATACATAATGCGCTTGTTCGAAAGATCACATGTGGCTGATTTTTCCTTTCAACTAAGCTATCGAGTTGTTTAGAAAAGAGTAAAACACCCGGCTTTTTATGCAGTGTGTTTGGCGTAAATATTGCCGATGTCTTGACTTTTCATTAAGCGTGTTTAATTTGAAGCTTTTCCACCTGGGAGTTGTAACTCAATTTCGAAACTTTTCGAAAACATTCATTCCAAACGGCGGGGCAGGTTTGTTGAGAAATTAAATGATTGGGGCATTTGTACTTATATTCTATTATACTAGCATAAAAATAGAAAAGGAAGGCTTGAATAAAGGAGGGAAAGAAAGAAGAAACGAAGTAGAGAAATGAAGGTAGGGGAAAACGAGCGCAGAAGAAAAAGGAAGAATAGAACGAAGGTTGTTGTGTGATAGAAGATTCTTAGCAAAATTTTAGGCCAGTAAGTTGAAGAAGAGGGATTCGATAGCAAATATATACGACCAGCAGTATAGATGAGCTGTTTATAAGGCTATCACATTCTTGTCTTAGTTCTTATAGGTGAAGTTGGGTTATTAGAGAAGATAGAGGAGCGGAGGGATTCGTAGTAAAGTTGTTTGAAATGGTCGTAGGCCTCCCTCTTTCACTCAGTTAGAAATCCATGACCCCCTTATTAAATCAACAAAGAAAACCTTTTGTCAAAATAAAAAGGTTTTTTGTTTGTTTGTTTGTTTGTTTGTTTGTTTTTGTTTTGTTTTTTTTTTGTTTGACCTGTAAAAAAGTTATATTTTGTACTGTTCAGGGATCCTTTCCTCTCAAGCCCCACCCCCTAGCCCTCCCTCAATCAAAAACACACGTCCCCTTATTACTATCATTATTAAACATATACATTACTACTATTGCTTCATCAGCCATTCAGAAATAGCCATGGTGGGGTAGATTTTTAAAATTCTTTGTTGGTTGGCGTGGTCAGATGAAAAACCACTTGAATGTGTTTTTGCACATGCGCATCAAGTAGGGTTACCAAAAGACTGATCAGCAGACTTCGCAGGAGAAACCTCAATAGAGAGTTTTAGATTGACTTTTTTT